AATATTTTCATAATTTTGTATAATGCTTAAAAGCTCAAAATAATATATATATATTTTGTGTTAGAGCATGTTACCTACATCAATGTTCCTATTTATAGCAATTTAATAAACCTTTGACAAGAAAACAAAAAAATCAGGTAATATGTATAATATCCTTGTTTGGGGCTCTATATTTCCTATTATTCACGTAAGCATGTATTGGCAATGTGCAAGCAATTGATATATACTGTCCTATTATGTGGACCCCAACGAAATTATGAAGAGCTGTGTACCATGCATTGTAAATGTCAGCTCACGACGGAGCTTGGTGCACGTGCAACAGTGGCAGAGAACGCGTTCCTCGTGCATCATGCAAGGGCGACACACACAGTATAAATACAGTCTACAAAGAGTTCTAGTTTATTTTCAAAGTGTAAAAGTAGGGATGTGTTTTAAGTAGGGGAATATCCTCATAACTCTCAGCCCCTGTGGGCCTCTGCTCCATTATTTTGAAGGAATGGAGGGATACTCAGACATTCCCCTCTACGTCAGGTGTTTTACTCAGCCTTCTGTCAGACCTCTACGTTCAGGGTTACTGGCATACTGTCTGTGTGTCAGTGCATCTGTACATCTGCATGACAACAGCGTTCCATGACAACAGTATTCTCTGTGTGTCTGCAGGGAGGGGGGATGACACCCTGTCTCCATGACAACAGCGTTCTCTGTGTGTCTGCAGGGAGGGGGGCTGACACCCTGTCTCCATGACAACAGCGTTCTCTGTGTGTCTGCAGGGAGGGGGGCTGACACCCTGTCTCCATGACAACAGCGTTATCTGTGTGTCAGCAGGGAGGGGGGCTGACACCCTGTCTCCATGACAACAGCGTTATCTGTGTGTCTGCAGGGAGGGGGGCTGACACCCTGTCTCCATGACAACAGCGTTCTCTGTGTGTCAGCAGGGAGGGGGGCTGACACCCTGCCTCCACGACAACAGCGTTCTCTGTGTGTCTGCAGGGAGGGGGGCTGACACCCTGTCTCCATGACAACAGCGTTCTCTGTGTGTCTGCAGGAAGGGGCGCTGACACCCTGTCTCCATGACAACAGCGTTCTCTGTGTGTCTACAGGGAGGGGGGCTGACACCCTGTCTCCATGACAACAGCGTTCTCTGTGTGTCAGCAGGAAGGGGGGCTGACACCCTGTCTCCATGACAACAGCGTTCTCTGTGTGTCAGCAGGAAGGGGGTCTGACACCCTGTCTCCATGACAACAGCGTTCTCTGTGTGTCAGCAGGGAGGGGGGCTGACACCCTGTCTCCATGACAACAGCGTTCTCTGTGTGTCTGCAGGAAGGGGGGCTGACACCCTGTCTCCATGACAACAGCGTTCTCTGTGTGTCTGCAGGGAGGGGGGCTGACACCCTGTCTCCATGACAACAGCGTTCTCTGTGTGTCTGCAGGGAGGGGGGCTGACAGCCTGTCTCCATGACAACAGCGTTCTCTGTGTGTCTGCAGGGAGGGGGTCTGACACCCTGTCTCCATGACAACAGCGTTCTCTGTGTGTCAGCAGGGAGGGGGGCTGACACCCTGTCTCCATGACAACAGCGTTCTCTGTGTGTCTGCAGGAAGGGGGGCTGACACCCTGTCTCCATGACAACAGCGTTCTCTGTGTGTCTGCAGGGAGGGGGGCTGACACCCTGTCTCCATGACAACAGCGTTCTCTGTGTGTCTGCAGGGAGGGGGGCTGACAGCCTGTCTCCATGACAACAGCGTTCTCTGTGTGTCTGCAGGGAGGGGGGCTGACACCCTGTCTCCATGACAACAGCGTTCTCTGTGCGTCTGCAGGGAGGGGGGCTGACACCCTGTCTCCATGACAACTGTAGTGTCCTCTGTGCGTCTGCAGGGAGGAGGACTGACACCCTGTCTCCATGACAACAGCGTTCTCTGTGCGTCTGCAGGGAGGGGGGCTGACACCCTGTCTCCATGACAACAGTAGTGTCCTCTGTGTGTCTGCAGGGAGGGGGGCTGACACCCTGTCTCCATGACAACAGTAGTGTCCTCTGTGCGTCTGCAGGGAGGGGGACTGACACCCTGTCTCAATGACAACAGTGTCCTCTGTGCTGCAAGCTCTGCCAGGAACTGCTGCAATTGGTATGCGGCCTTTGAAGGTCGGAGTCAAATCAGTTGTGTGTTGGACACGAAAAAATCAATTCACATTCGTAGGTATCTAATAAACACTCTGTCTACAATGTAAATATGTAAGGTACATCTGCACTCTCCGACCGCTAGAAGATGGAAGATTTAGTTAACTGCCATACTCATCGTAGTTACCTCCCCTTGTTTTCAAGTCTCTCTCTGTGTGTTCAATGTTCTGAGGATACGTTTGTATATTTTACTTCATTTTCAGAGCCTACTCTGGATTAGACATGAACAAAATACATATTTCTGACTGAAATTTACTGTCTCATTGATCAAGTATGCTTTTGGTGATATTTTTCTTGTATTATTTAAAAATAAATATTGTTAACATATAATCAAAGTTAAGTTTAGAAAATACACCTGAACTCAATCTTAGAAAATAGTGGTTATACGTGTTGGTTATAAGATTGTGCCCAGTAAACTCACGTGTTGGTTATAAGATTGTGCCCAGTAAACTCACGTGTTGGTTATAAGATTGTGCACAGTAAACTCACGTGTTGGTTATAAGATTGTGCCCAGTAAACTCACGTGTTGGTTATAAGATTGTGCCCAGTAAACTCACGTGTTGGTTATAAGATTGTGCCCAGTAAACTCACGTGTTGGTTATAAGATTGTGCCCAGTAAACTCACGTGTTGGTTATAAGATTGTGCCCAGTAAACTCACGTGTTGGTTATAAGATTGTGCACAGTAAACTCACGTGTTGGTTATAAGATTGTGCCCAGTAAACTCACGTGTTGGTTATAAGATTGTGCCCAGTAAACTCACGTGTTGGTTATAAGATTGTGCCCAGTAAACTCACGTGTTGGTTATAAGATTGTGCCCAGTAAACTCACGTGTTGGTTATAAGATTGTGCCCAGTAAACTCACGTGTTGGTTATAAGATTGTGCCGAGTAAACTCACATGTTGGTTATATGATTGTGCACAGTAAACTCACGTGTTGGTTATAAGATTGTGCACAGTAAACTCACATGTTGGTTATATGATTGTGCCCAGTAAACTCACGTGTTGGTTATAAGATTGTGCCCAGTAAACTCACATGTTGGTCATATGATTGTGCACAGTGAACTCACGTGTTGGTTATAAGATTGTGCCCAGTAAACTCACATGTTGGTTATAAGATTGTGCCCAGTAAACTCATGTGTTGGTTATAAGATTGTGCCCAGTAAACTCACGTGTTGGTTATAAGATTGTGCACAGTAAACTCATGTGTTGGTTATAAGATTGTGCCCAGTAAACTCACATGTTGGTTATATGATTGTGCACAGTAAACTCATGTGTTGGTTATAAGATTGTGCACAGTAAACTCACATGTTGGTTATATGATTGTGCCCAGTAAACTCACGTGTTGGTTATAAGATTGTGCCCAGTAAACTCACATGTTGGTTATATGATTGTGCACAGTAAACTCACTTGTTGGTTATAAGATTGTGCACAGTAAACTCACATGTTGGTTAAAACATTGTGCCCAGTAAACTCACGTGTTGGTTATAAGATTGTGCACAGTAAACTCATGTGTTGGTTATAAGATTGTGCCCAGTAAACTCACATGTTGGTTATAAGATTGTGCCCAGTAAACTCATGTGTTAGTTATAAGATTGTGCACAGTAAACTCACATGTTGGTTATAAGATTGTGCCCAGTAAACTCATGTGTTAGTTATAAGATTGTGCACAGTAAACTCACGTGTTGGTTATAAGATTGTGCACAGTGAACTCACATGTTGGTTATAACATTGTGCACAGTAAACTCACTTGTTGGTTATAAGATTGTGCACAGTGAACTCACATGTTGGTTATAACATTGTGCACAGTAAACTCACATGTTGGTTTTAAGATTGTGCACAGTGAACTCACATGTTGGTTATAACATTGTGCCCAGTAAACTCACTTGTTGGTTATAAGATTGTGCACAGTGAACTCACATGTTGGTTATAACATTGTGCACAGTAAACTCACATGTTGGTTATAAGATTGTGCCCAGTGAACTCACATGTTGGTTATAACATTGTGCCCAGTGAACTCACGTGTTTGTTATAACGTTGTGCCCAGTGAACTCACATTGTTATAACATTGTGCCAAGTGAACTCACATGTTGGTTATAACATTGTGTCCAGTGAACTCGCATGGTTATAACATTGTGCCCAGTAAACTCACATGTTAGTTATAACATTGTGCACAGTAAACTCACATGTTGGTTATAAGAATGTGCCGGATGAACTCACATGTTGGTTATAACATTGTGCCCAGTGAACTCACGTGTTGGTTACAACATTGTGCCCAGTGAACGCATGTGTTGGTTATAACATTGTGCCCAGTGAACTCACATGTTGGTTATAACATTGTGCCCAGTGAACTCGCATGGTTATAACATTGTGCCAAGTAAACTCACATGTTGGTTATAACATTGTGCCCAGTGAACTCACGTGTTGGTTATAACATTGTGCCCAGTGAACTCACATGTTGGTTATAACATTGTGCCCAGTGAACTCACATGTTGGTTATAACATTGTGCCCAGTGAAACCGATGTTGGTGATATTTTCCCTGTATAAAGTGTGTCACCGAAAATGTTTAAGATTAAACGGGTAGGAGAAACTGTTGCCTAGCAACACACATGATAGTCAACAAACAGCTGTTGGAGTGCAACTGGGAAACAGAACTAAGGACAGTTACAACTACAACAGAGCCCCATTGATTTGTAAAGCGGCAGTTGATTAACTCTTTCCTGTATGAAACGCCTGGTCACATGTGTGTGCACACAGGGAAGTAACAGTGTGTTGATATAGGTAGTCACTTTTCCTCAGCTCACTCTTGTATATTGATATTATTTCAGTCTTCCTCTGCGTCGTCCGGCATCTACAACGAACCTGACGACGCCAGCACTCAGTGGCAGACGTCTGCTCCCACGTCACCTCGGGTGAAAGCCAAACTTATTCATGGACTCCAGCCAGGATCTCCGAGACACCAGGAAAACAAACCCTTCTCCTATGGAGTAAGTTTCCCAGCATCGCCAAAACACCAAGGTCAAGGACAGTGTAATGGTAATGACCTAAATGGGCAGCGGGGTCGCACAGGCTCAACAGGTAGTGCTCACTCAAGTGAAAACCCTTATGCTCGATGGATTCACGTTGATCAGGAGGAATCGGAGTTACCCCCCTTTCCTGTGGACAATCAATCCGCCTACCACCAGGTGCACTGTGTTCCCAACTCCCCTGTGTATGATGGACCTTCACCGACACCTGCCTACGGAGTACACAGTTCCCCCTACCCACCCCACGCAGGCCGAGTGAACCCAGTGCCGCCTCCTGTACCCCCACCAAACCCTTGCCACAGCCCCACCCCTGTGAACGTGTCGTCACAGATCCAGCAGTTGAAGAACAATGCCATCAGCGGCCACCCCCATCCCCATCCCCACCAGTCTCCCCCCCTCCCCCAGACTCCCCGCAGTCCCGGCTCGCCCAAGATGGTCGCCAAACTCCACAGTCTGAAAGTCGGCCCCAAGATTCCGGACCCGGGGATGAAGATGGATCACCCTGTTCCTCCCCCACCAAACTTTCCTGCGCCACCCCCGCCCGTGTCTCCACAAGATCGGTACCAAGCCGTGGTACAGGACAGAACACGGGGCAGGTCTCCGTCACCGCCCCTACCCCCGCCCCCGCTAGATGGCGCTGCCAGTCGGGGGGTGTCTGCTGTTCCCCCTCCCCCGCCTCCAATATCCACCATACCCACCAGCAATGCCAAAGCTACCCGTGCCAAGGAGAGGGATGTCGCCCGACCCAACCCACCGACACAGAACGGGGACGAGGTCAAGGCCACACAGCTGATGGCGGAGATCGGCAATATTAAACTGAAGAGGGTCAACAGCCCCCAGGGTAGGTGACTTCTGCCTCTCTATGGACCAGTGGCCCTTGGGCTAATCATGCTATCTCGGTGGACTAGCACTATAAAACCTGCAAGTCCAGACGAGTACAAGCAGCCACACACACACGTGCATCATCTTGAATGTGACCTTAAACCCAATTTCACCTCACCTCAGATTTGGAACTCTATATCTATCATTAAGATGAAGCCCAGTACTGATCACTAAGATGAAGCCCTGTACTGATCACTAAGATGGAGCCCTGTACTGATCACTAAGATGATGCCCTGAACTGATCTCTAAGATGATGCCCTGTACTGATCACTAAGATGATGCCCTGTACTGATCACTAAGATGAAGCCCTGTACTGATCACTAAGATGAAGCCCTGTACTGATCACTAAGATGAAGCCCTGTACTGATCACTAAGATGATGCCCTGTACTGATCACTAAGATGATGACTGATCACTAAGATGATGCCCTGTACTGATCACTAAGATGATGCCCTGCACTGATCACTTAGATGATGCCCTGTACTGATCTCTAAGATGAAGCCCTGTACTGATCACTAAGATGATGCCCTGTAATGATCTCTAAGATGATTCCCTGTACTGATCTCTAAGATGATACCCAGTACTGATCACTAAGATGATGCCCTGTACTGATCACTAAGATGATGCCCTGTACTGATCACTAAGATGATGCGCTGTACTGATCTCTAAGATGATACCCAGTACTGATCACTAAGATGATGCCCTGTACTGATCTCTAAGATGATGCCCTGAACTGATCACTAAGATGATGCCCTGTACTGATCTCTAAGATGATGCCCTGTACTGATCACTAAGATGATGCCCTGTACTGATCACTAAGATGATGCCCTGAACTGATCACTTAGATGATGCCCTGTATTTATCACTAAGATGAAGCCCTGTACTGATCACTAAGATGATGCCCTGTACTGATCTCCAAGATGATGCCCTGTACTGATCTCTAAGATGATGCCCTGAACTGATCACTAAGATGATGCCCTGTACTGATCACTAAGATGAAGCCCTGTACTGATCACTAAGATGATGCCCTGTACTGATCACTAAGATGATGACTGATCACTAAGATGATGCCCTGTACTGATCACTAAGATGATGCCCTGCACTGATCACTAAGATGATGCCCTGTACTGATCACTAAGATGATGCCCTGAACTGATCACTAAGATGATGCCCTGTACTGATCTCTAAGATGATGCCCTGTACTGATCACTAAGATGATTCCCTGTACTGATCACTAAGATGATGCCCTGTACTGATCACTAAGATGATGCCCTGAACTGATCACTTAGATGATGCCCTGTATTTATCACTAAGATGAAGCCCTGTACTGATCACTAAGATGATGCCCTGTACTGATCTCCAAGATGATGCCCTGTACTGATCTCTAAGATGATGCCCTGTACTGATCACTAAGATGATGCCCTGTACTGATCTCTAAGATGATGCCCTGTACTGATCACTAAGATGATTCCCTGTACTGATCACTAAGATGATGCCCTGTACTGATCACTAAGATGATGCCCTGAACTGATCACTTAGATGATGCCCTGTATTTATCACTAAGATGATGCCCTGTACTGATCTCCAAGATGATGCCCTGTACTGATCACTTAGATGATGCCCTGTACTGATCACTAAGATGATGCCCTGTACTGATCTCTAAGATGATGCCCTGTACTGATCACTAAGATGATGCCCTGAACTGATCACTAAGATGATGCCCTGTACTGATCTCTAAGATGATGCCCTGTACTGATCACTAAGATGATTCCCTGTACTGATCACTAAGATGATGCCCTGTACTGATCACTAAGATGATGCCCTGAACTGATCACTTAGATGATGCCCTGTATTTATCACTAAGATGAAGCCCTGTACTGATCACTAAGATGATGCCCTGTACTGATCTCCAAGATGATGCCCTGTACTGATCTCTAAGATGATGCCCTGTACTGATCACTAAGATGATGCCCTGTACTGATCTCTAAGATGATGCCCTGTACTGATCACTAAGATGATTCCCTGTACTGATCACTAAGATGATGCCCTGTACTGATCACTAAGATGATGCCCTGAACTGATCACTTAGATGATGCCCTGTATTTATCACTAAGATGATGCCCTGTACTGATCTCCAAGATGATGCCCTGTACTGATCACTTAGATGATGCCCTGTACTGATCACTAAGATGATGCCCTGTACTGATCTCTAAGATGATGCCCTGTACTGATCACTAAGATGGAGCCCTGAACTGATCTCTAAGATGATGCGCTGTACTGATCACTAAGATGATGCCCTGTACTGATCACTAAGATGAAGCCCTGTACTGATCACTAAGATGAAGCCCTGTACTGATCACTAAGATGAAGCCCTGTACTGATCACTAAGATGATGACTGATCACTAAGATGATGCCCTGTACTGATCACTAAGATGATGCCCTGCACTGATCACTAAGATGATGCCCTGTACTGATCTCTAAGATGATGCCCTGTACTGATCACTAAGATGATGCCCTGTAATGATCTCTAAGATGATGCCCTGTACTGATCTCTAAGATGATACCCAGTACTGATCACTAAGATGATGCCCTGTACTGATCACTAAGATGAAGCCCTGTACTGATCACTAAGATGATGCGCTGTACTGATCTCTAAGATGATACCCAGTACTGATCACTAAGATGATGCCCTGTACTGATCTCTAAGATGATGCCCTGTACTGATCACTAAGATGATGCCCTGTACTGATCTCTAAGATGATGCCCTGTACTGATCACTAAGATGATTCCCTGTACTGATCACTAAGATGATGCCCTGTACTGATCACTAAGATGATGCCCTGAACTGATCACTAAGATGATGCCCTGTACTGATCACTAAGATGATGCCCTGAACTGATCACTAAGATGATGCCCTGTACTGATCACTTTTGTCTCTCCTGTAGCAGCTGCCCCTGTGGCACCAGTGCAGCCAATGATGGACAACGGTGGCGGCGCCTCCCCGCTCAACTTCCGCCTCCGTCCCACACCAAATGCTGTCAACATCTACAAGGACGGTGAGTTTATGCAGGCCTACCTTGTGAGTTTAGTCCGGTCTGTCTGGTGAGTTTATGCAGGCCTACCTTGTGAGTTTAGTCCAGTCTGTCTGGTGAGTTTAGTCCGGTCTGTCTGGTGAGTTTATGGAGGCCTACCTTGTGAGTTTAGTCCGGTCTGTCTGGTGAGTTTATTCCGGTCTGTCTGGTGAGTTTATGCAGGCCTACCTTGTGAGTTTAGTCCAGTCTGTCTGGTGAGTTTATGCAGGCCTACCTTGTGAGTTTAGTCCGGTCTGTCTGGTGAGTTTATTCCAGTCTGTCTAGTGAGTTTATGCAGGCCTACCTTGTGAGTTTAGTCCAGTCTGTCTGGTGAGTTTAGTCCAGTCTGTCTGGTTAGTTTATGCAGGCCTACCTTGTGAGTTTAGTCCGGTCTGTCTGGTGAGTTTATGCAGGCCTACCTTGTGAGTTTAGTCCAGTCTGTCTGGTGAGTTTAGTCCGGTCTGTCTGGTGAGTTTATGGAGGCCTACCTTGTGAGTTTAGTCCGGTCTGTCTGGTGAGTTTATTCCGGTCTGTCTGGTGAGTTTATGCAGGCCTACCTTGTGAGTTTAGTCCAGTCTGTCTGGTGAGTTTATGCAGGCCTACCTTGTGAGTTTAGTCCGGTCTGTCTGGTGAGTTTATTCCAGTCTGTCTAGTGAGTTTATGCAGGCCTACCTTGTGAGTTTAGTCCAGTCTGTCTGGTGAGTTTAGTCCAGTCTGTCTGGTTAGTTTATGCAGGCCTACCTTGTGAGTTTAGTCCAGTCTGTCTGGTGAGTTTAGTCCGGTCTGTCTGGTGAGTTTATGGAGGCCTACCTTGTGAGTTTAGTCCGGTCTGTCTGGTGAGTTTATTCCGGTCTGTCTGGTGAGTTTATGCAGGCCTACCTTGTGAGTTTAGTCCAGTCTGTCTGGTGAGTTTATGCAGGCCTACCTTGTGAGTTTAGTCCGGTCTGTCTGGTGAGTTTATTCCAGTCTGTCTTGTGAGTTTATGCAGGCCTACCTTGTGAGTTTAGTCCAGTCTGTCTGGTGAGTTTAGTCCAGTCTGTCTGGTTAGTTTATGCAGGCCTACCTTGTGAGTTTGGTCCAGTCTGTCTGGTGAGTTTATGCAGGCCTACCTTGTGAGTTTAGTCCAGTCTGTCTGGTGAGTTTATGCAGGCCTACCTTGTGAGTTTAGTCCAGTCTGTCTGGTGAGTTTATTCCAGTCTGTCTGGTGAGTTTATGCAGGCCTACCTTGTGACTTTAGTCCAGTCTGTCTGGTGAGTTTATTCCGGTCTGTCTGGTGAGTTTATGCAGGCCTACCTTGTGAGATTAGTCCAGTCTGTCTAGTGAGTTTATGCAGGCCTACCTTGTGAGTTTAGTCCAGTCTGTCTGGTGAGTTGAGTCTGGTCTGTCTGGTGAGTTTATGCAGGCCTACCTTGTGAGTTTAGTCCAGTCTGTCTGGTGAGTTTAGTCCAGTCAGTCTGGTGAGTTTATGCAGGCCTACCTTGTGAGTTTAGTCCAGTCTGTCTGGTGAGTTTATTCCGGTCTGTATGGTGAGTTTATGCAGGCCTACCTTGTGAGTTTAGTCCAGTCTGTCTGGTGAGTTTATGCAGGCCTACCTTGTGAGTTTAGTCCGGTCTGTCTGGTGAGTTTATTCCAGTCTGTCTAGTGAGTTTATGCAGGCCTACCTTGTGAGTTTAGTCCAGTCTGTCTGGTGAGTTTAGTCCAGTCTGTCTGGTTAGTTTATGCAGGCCTACCTTGTGAGTTTAGTCCAGTCTGTCTGGTGAGTTTATGCAGGCCTACCTTGTGAGTTTAGTCCAGTCTGTCTGGTGAGTTTATGCAGGCCTACCTTGTGAGTTTAGTCCAGTCTGTCTGGTGAGTTTATTCCAGTCTGTCTGGTGAGTTTATGCAGGCCTACCTTGTGAGTTTAGTCCAGTCTGTCTGGTGAGTTTATTCCGGTCTGTCTGGTGAGTTTATGCAGGCCTACCTTGTGAGATTAGTCCAGTCTGTCTAGTGAGTTTATGCAGGCCTACCTTGTGAGTTTAGTCCAGTCTGTCTGGTGAGTTGAGTCTGGTCTGTCTGGTGAGTTTATGCAGGCCTTCCTTGTGAGTTTAGTCCAGTCTGTCTGGTGAGTTTAGTCCAGTCAGTCTGGTGAGTTTATGCAGGCCTACCTTGTGAGTTTAGTCCAGTCTGTCTGGTGAGTTTATTCCGGTCTGTATGGTGAGTTTATGCAGGCCTACCTTGTGAGTTTAGTCCAGTCTGTCTGGTGAGTTTATGCAGGCCTACCTTGTGAGTTTAGTCCAGTCTGTCTGGTGAGTTTAGTCCAGTCTGTCTGGTGAGTTTATGCAGGCCTACCTTGTGAGTTTAGTCCAGTCTGTCTGGTGAGTTTATTCCGGTCTGTCTGGTGAGTTTATGCAGGCCTACCTTGTGAGTTTAGTCCAGTCTGTCTGGTGAGTTTATGCAGGCCTACCTTGTGAGTTTAGTCCAGTCTGTCTGGTGAGTTTATGCAGGCCTACCTTGTGAGTTTAGTCCAGTCTGTCTGGTGAGTTTAGCCTGGTCTGTCTGGTGAGTTTATGCAGGCCTACCTTGTGAGTTTAGTCCAGTCTGTCTGGTGAGTTTATTCCGGTCTGTCTGGTGAGTTTATGCAGGCCTACCTTGTGAGTTTAGTCCAGTCTGTCTGGTGAGTTTATGCAGGCCTACCTTGTGAGTTTAGTCCAGTCTGTCTGGTGAGTTTAGTCCAGTCTGTCTAGTGAGTTTATGCAGGCCTACCTTGTGAGTTTAGTCCAGTCTGTCTGGTGAGTTTAGTCCAGTCTGTCTGGTGAGTTTATGCAGGCCTACCTTGTGAGTTTAGTCCAGTCTGTCTGGTGAGTTAATGCAGGCCTACCTTGTGAGTTTAGTCCAGTCTGTCTGGTAAATTTATGCAGGCCTACCTTGTGAGTTTAGTCCGGTCTGTCTGGTGAGTTTATGCAGGCCTACCTTGTGAGTTTAGTCCAGTCTGTCTGGTGAGTTTATGCAGGCCTACCTTGTGAGTTTAGTCTGGTCTGTCTGGTGAGTTTAGTCCGGTCTGTCTGGTGAGTTTATGCAGGCCTACCTTGTGAGTTTAGTCCAGTCTGTCTGGTGAGTTTAGTCCAGTCTGTCTGGTGAGTTTATGCAGGCCTACCTTGTGAGTTTATTCCGGTCTATCTGGTGAGTTTATGCAGGCCTACCTTGTGAGTTTAGTCCAGTCTGTCTGGTGAGTTTATGCAGGCCTACCTTGTGAGTTTAGTCCAGTCTGTCTGGTGAGTTTATGCAGGCCTACCTTGTGAGTTTAGTCCAGTCTGTCTGGTGAGTTTAGTCCAGTCTGTCTGGTGAGTTTATGCAGGCCTACCTTGTGAGTTTAGTCCAGTCTGTCTGGTGAGTTTAGTCCAGTGTGTCTGGTGAGTTTATGCAGGCCTACCTTGTGAGTTTAGTCCAGTCTGTCTGGTGAGTTTAGTCCAGTCTGTCTGGTGAGTTTATGCAGGCCTACCTTGTGAGTTTAGTCCAGTCTGTCTGGTGAGTTTATTCCGGTCTGTCTGGTGAGTTTATGCAGGCCTACCTTGTGAGTTTAGTCCAGTCTGTCTGGTGAGTTTAGTCCAGTCTGTCTGGTGAGTTTATGCAGGCCTACCTTGTGAGTTTAGTCCAGTCTGTCTGGTGAGTTAAGTCCAGTCTGTCTGGTGAGTTTATGCAGGCCTACCTTGTGAGTTTAGTCTGGTCTGTCTGGAGAGTTTATCGTGGTCTGGATGGCAATGATGACAGGTTTATAAACAGGACTAATAAGCCTGAGAAGCCTGACTCTGCCCTGCCTGTGAAGTTGCAGTGCCTCATGACATGTACCACCATATTGTGAGTCACGACGCTCCAACTGTCTAAATCTGAACTCTGCTGTTCAGGTCGCGATGACACAACAAGGGAACCGCCTGTGGAAGAGTTACCTCCCCCTCCTCCGCTGGACATGGAGCCAGAACCGGAGCCAGAACCCACAAGACCAGTTGCCGTGGTGACAGCTCAGCCACATGAGCAGAAGAAGACGAAAGCTGGCAAAGGAAAGAAAGGTAGGTGGAGAAATCCCCCTGGATTGTGTCGGATTTATGTTGTGTTGTATTGCAGGTGACAGGGAACAAACACATGGCAGGCAAGGTGAGGAGTACTTAGGGGCATACACAAAGTGTGTCATGGGAAAACAGCGAAGGTTCTCTTTAGGGAAAGGAGTTTCTGTGACAAGCTGGAAGTAGAGGGCTCTCTGTGGCCAAGTGACAAACACGTTGCCATGGCAACAAGCTGGAAGTAAAGAAGTCATTGTGGCCAAACATGTTACCCTGGCAACAGGGTCTTGGCTTTCAGTCTTCAGTTCCAGGGGAAGTATGGTTGCAAAGCTGAAACTTAAAGGAATTGATGGACGGTCACCACATGGAAGATTCGACTATGCTTGTCAAAAGAGGCGACAAACAGGATCGGGTGGTCAGGCTCGCTGACTTGGTTGATGCATGTCATCATATCCCAATTATGTGGATTGATGCTCATGATGTCAATCACTGGAATGTCTGGTCGAGCCCTGAGTATTTACAGACCGTGTCATGTGTAGCTGGAATATTGATGAGTGCGGCGTTAACAACAAAGAAACCAAACCAGTACCTGGAAGCCGCCTCCAGCCAGCCTGGACTCCACCACCTCATATACATAGGGGGATCTTTTAACTTGAAATTCAAAATAATTTCATTAATTTGTTTACCACTACAACAAGAAGACAGCTGCTCCTCCACTCATGTTAGTCTGCTCTGTCTAGTCTAGTCTGCAAACAAAATAACGAGCCTACAACATTGCCACAATGTTTTTTTAATGTTTTGGCAACATTACTTTGTATGTCTTTTTTAACATTGTGACAACATCAGTGTATGATGTTGTGTCATAACTTTTCCTACAACAAAGCATTTTTGTTTATTAATAATCTCAGTTGACTGGCTTCATTTTGTCCATACTCTTTGTTTTGTTACCTAAAAAAACAGGGTGGTTGGGTAGCCTAGTGGTTAAAGCGTTCACTCATCACACTGTAGGCCTGGGTTCAATTCCCCACATGGGTACAATGTAGGTGAGAACGCTGCAGGCACTTCATGGAGTGAGACTTTAATGAGACGCAGTGAGACTAGGCCTAATCATGTAATTATTCCTGTAACAAACAGGGAAAATATGTGAAAATCAAGTAATCTAGTACCCCTGCCTTTAGTCTTCCACCAGATGTTTGTATATTATTTACATGTTGTTATGTGATTCTGTGTCAAGCTGGGCAGAGGGGGAGGACCTCTGGAATGTCTGCTGACCACACATTACTGACCTGCAGACCACACACTGCTGACCTGCAGACCACTCATTACTGACCTGCAGACCACACACTACTGACCTGCAGACCAGTCATTACTGACCTGCAGACCACACACTACTGACCTGCAGACCACACACTACTGACCTGCAGACCACTCATTACTGACCTGCAGACCACACACTACTGACCTGCAGACCAGTCATTACTGACCTGCAGACCACACACTACTGACCTGCAGACCACACACTGCTGACCTGCAGACCACTCATTACTGACCTGCAGACCACACACTACTGACCTGCAGACCACACACTACTGACCTGCAGACCACTCATTACTGACCTGCAGACCACTCACTACTGACCTGCAGACCACACACTACTGACCTGCAGACCACTCATTACTGACCTGCAGACCACACATTACTGACCTGCAGACCACACACTACTGACCTGCAGACCACACACTACTGACCTGCAGACCACTCATTACTGACCTGCAGACCACACATTACTGACCTGCAGACCACACACTACTGACCTGCAGACCACACACTACTGATCTGCAGACCGCATGTTACTGACCTGCACAGAACACACTATTGACCTGCAGATCACTCGTGGCTGACCTGCAGACCACACATAACTGACCTGCAGACCACACTCTACTGACCTGCAGACAGCATGTTACTGACATACAGACCACTCATTACTGACCTGCAGACCACACGTTACTGACCTGCAGATCGTATGTTACTGATCTATAGACCACACGTTACTGACCTGCAGACTGCAGACCACACATTACTGACCTGCAGACCACACATTGCTGACCTGCTAAAGTTTTGGTGCTGTGCAAGAACCTTCTCGACAGGGAGACTGCACTTGAATCAGTTTCTTGTCTTCTGATACTGGAAGTATGGTGAGGTAGGGGAGATAACTCCTCCACTTGTTACTTCCACACGTTTTGTATGAGGGATTTTATGATTCTTTGAGGGATCTCTTCCTGCCTACTTGTAATTACAGCATATTGGTTACATTGATGGCTGAACTTGCATCTCCAGCAGCTAAAGGGATGGTTTAAATCCTGCTGTGGTGCCGTGCATGTAGCGAAGATACAGTTCCTGTAGTCAGGGCTGTGCCTTCCTGGCTTGTGACATGTAGCCTGACTTTCATGTTGTGTCATCGTACACTTAATTGATCATCACACTATATTGTACACGAATCTGTCACATGTTACCAGTTATTTACTGTCCTTAGAAGACAGGTTTTTATAAAATGTGTATGCGTTACTATTTCTGTCATGATATGAGGTACTGCTGCTGTGACTTACTACACCATCACCATCATCATCTGTAACAAATGTGGGATTACACTTTCTTAGTGAAGTTCACATTCTAGTACCCGGTACCTGGGGTTCGAACCCACACTCTCGAGTGAGGCACTCACTGCCAGCACACAAAGTCAGCGATCTAATGCACTGAGCCACTGAGGTCCGAAGCTTAAAAAAAATGAAAGTCCGACAACAGGTCGTCTAGATCCCATACTTTGTGTAACCCCTGACAAGTGTATATTGGCACGGCTCCCATGGCCGAAAGCTATGAATACACAATGCCATTTAGAAATTGGTCAACTCAAAAAAGTACTAGAATCTGTACTTTACTGAGAAAGTGTAAATCCAAATCTAACATTTGTTACATCTGACCACTTTCTAAAAGGCATTGTGTATTCACTTCATCCCCACGTGGCATCACTGCCATACATTCCTGGGGGTGGGGGGGGGGGGGGGGGTAATGCCAGCTGTGCACCCTGATGACCCCCCACCCTTGTACACAGCTATAAATGTGTATAGTTGTACGTCAACCTAACTTTGTGAACATTCCATCCACCCATCTGGCAGACCATTTCGTTTAATATCTAACATCTTAGTCTTCAGTTTATTCCAAACTACGCACATAAACATCAAACACAAAGCTGCGATGTTGGGCAGTGATGTCATGCTGACTGCTGCACATGCTTCCTGCAATTACTCACTCCTTAAACAACAGCCGCTTCCACCCCCTCCCCCCCACCTCCCCCTCCCACTGCCCTGTACCTGCAGGAGGGGCACCTGCACCTAGGGGTGTGTATGTTCACCATGCCTGGCACACACTACACACTCACCATGCCTGGCACACACTACACACTCACCATGCCTGGCACACACTACACACTCACCATGCCTGGCACACACTACACACTCACCATGCCTGGCACACACTACACACTCACCATGCCTGGCACACACTACACACTCACCATGAGCAGCGGACTACTGAAACAGGAATAAGTACCAATGCATTGTTTGTTGGACTGGATGGAATATTTGTCTATTTTATCCAAATATGACCCTTTCAACCTCATCAATTGAAATTATGTTTAATTATTGTTATTCAAATATCAAGTCCATGATGTAAGCATGATGACGTGTTGAAACACACCCTCTATGCCATTCCTCCATGCTAGAAAGGCTTTCCCCATTCATTATTGTTCAGAACTAAGCCTGGTATGAAACAAGGGGTCAGTTGACTTGGATCGGCTGTGAACAAAGCCCTGCATCTCCAGACAAGAATCCTTGTAGCATCAGGAAGCCATGCATGACCACACAGGAAAACATGGTCACTCCCAGCTACCACAGTTATCTCCCTTGACTGCCGACTTGACCTTCTGCCAAGGAATGTGACAAGTTGTCACCCAGGTCAACACAGCACTCACCTCCTCCATGAGAACCAAACTACAAACAAACCCTACTCAGTCCCCTGTCAGACTTGACTTCCTGTTCCAGTGGGAGAAAACCTTCTGTCCAACCCACCAGCCCTCTCCTCATTTAGCTGTGGCCATATTAAGTATGAGAGCAGTGCTGTGTTGGCAGCCGGCAGCCTCACTCTCAGATACAGCAGGGATGATTACCCCTCTATTTCGGGAACATAGCTCGGATTCTCACTCTCCCTTCAGAGGAAGGGAATAATTAATTAGCGGCTGCTGGAGCAGGGGGTAGCGGCAGTCAGTAGACAGCTGGCAGTCATTCCATGTGGAACATCGTCTCCACTGCCACACTTGTAAACACCAAGGACTGGATTTCTATCTTCCATTTTGTGACTTAAGATTTAACAAGAAGGTGAGTTTCAAACTTTGTGTGGATTGTGAATGTGTGCACTGTGAAGGCAGTAAGGGGTGGGTGGGTAATTATATACTGGAGGATCGGGTTGCTGTACACAATGTCTGTTGCCTGACTCTCAACGTGTAGCAGCAAGTACCTTGACTGTTGTATGTCCACCACACCCCCAACTTGTAAAACCAACTTGGTGTCTGCTGCCACAAACTATGTGACTTAGCGGCAACTTGCCCCATCCCAGCACAGACTCCATCCTTGTCATGACTGCAGTCTCTCCCCCCCTCATCATGTGTAGCTGGACACCACATGTACATGGCAGCCTACATATGCATCTGTACATGTACATGACAGCCTACATATGCATCTGTACATGTATATGACAGCCTACATATGCATCTGTACATGTATATGACAGCCTACATATGCATCTGTACATGTACATGGCAGCCTACACATGCATCTGTACATGTATATGACAGCCTACATATGCATATGGACATGTATATGACAGCCTACATATGCATATGGACATGTACATGGCAGCCTACATATGCATCTGTACATGACCATGACAGCCTACAT